CGGGTGCCCCCAGAACCACCTCGTCACCGGTGCTGGTGGATGTGCAGGCGACCGCCAGAGTGGACACTTCCCCGTGGCTGGGCAGGGGGCTGGGGCGCCAATTCCCCCGCCTGCTCGCCTCAGTCGGGTGAAGGGGGTATGTGGCAGGTTGGGTTCTGTGATGCTGCTGAAGGTGAGATGGACTCACCTGCACAGCATCTACAATCACGCCTCGCCGGCTTAAAACCTGTGCTCTGCTTTTGTTTTGTTTTTTGGTGGTGATGTGCATGACTGGCAGCGGGAGAGTGGCAGCTGTTGAATGTACTGTTACACACAGCAAAATCTCCAGTGTTAAATTAACACTGGAGATTTTGCTGTGCAGCAACGATGTAATTATTGCAAGAATAAATGATGCTGCAAAGCATGAAAATGCCATCGGGTCTGCCGTGGTGGTTTAGTTATCAAGTTGTTTTTGTTGGGTTTTTTTAAAGAAAAATCTTAAATAAAAAGTGCACACAAATAAGTAAATAAGTTAAAAAGGGGGAGAGGGAGCAAAGTGTGCCTGCTCTGCGCTGACACAGGAGCAGCGAGTCTGGCGACCTTGCTGTTTTGTCTTTGCCGAAAGCACAGCATCGCAAAAACAGCAGAACTTAAAGTAAAGAATCGATCTCACCAGGCTAGTATCGATCCGATACCGATGCCGACTTGTTATCGATACAATCGATATTTGGATCGAGCCGCCCACCACTACAAAACACAAAAAACATTAGCCCGCAAAGCCGCATTGAACAAAGCAGCATAGTGCAACGAATTCAATTCAAATCAATATAAGACTTATTTGTAACCTACAAATAAGTCTTATTGCAAGAATAAATGATGCTGCAAAGCATGAAAATGCCATCGGGTCTGCCGTGGTGGTTTAGTTATCAAGTTGATCGATTCCTACAAATAAGTCTTATTTGTAGGTCAACAATTATGTTATGATAAATTACTTAATAACTACAACAAAAGACTTACCATTGTTGAAATGCTTGGAGCAGACTAACATGTGAGCTGGAGTGTTTTGGAAAATTATATTTGGTCTGCAATCCAGGCCATCCGTTGGCTCTTTGTTACTTCGGAAACGTGACTCGAACAATTTCTCTACCACGACATAATCCGATAAAAACCGATCACTTTACCCGTCGGCTTCCCGTGGCTGTCATGCGACCAGTGTTGTGCCAAAAAGTGATTGTGTCTGTGTATTTTTTGTGTAATATCTTTACGTATGTTCGTAAATAGACTTCGGTGAACAGGTTTTACAAAGGGGTTATATAGAGAATTTAAAAAATATCTGTTTTTAAAGTATCTTTACAACTCTCTGCTATTGTACTTACATTATAACCAATCCGGTCCTTTATCCCCACTTAAAATATTTTACAGAACTATTGTAATATTTGCTGCCATTTCTGCTGTCCTCTTGGCCAACTTACTCTTACAAAAGACATTTTTAATGTTAATGAGATTTTTTTAACTGCATAAATAAAGGTTATATAAAAGTCACTGCCAAAAACTGATTGTGGCTTCTACCTTGTTACACGATGTTGTTTGTGGCTCAAGATGACTTTATGTCATCCATGAGGGATGCATTTGACATATGTTTCACATATTATAGCCCAACAAGTTACTTATAGCAGTTTAAATACGAGGAATCAGTTTTTGGCAGGCAATTACTTTTTGGCAAAACACCGGCTATAGCAGTTAATAATACAACAGCTTCTTGCCATTCTTTGAGTTTCTTTTTATCGCTGTTCGACTGTTTTCATGTAAAAGCTAGTGGTGGGCGGATCGATCCAAATATCGATAGTATTGATCCCAAGTCGGCATCGGTATGGGATTGATACTAGCCTGGTGAGATTGATTCTTTACTTTGAGTTCTGCTTGTTTGCCATGCTGTGCTTTCGGCAAAAACGAAACAACCAGATCGCTGGACTCACCGCTCCTGTGTCAGCGGAGAGCACTTTGCTCCCTCTCCCCACTTTTATGTTTCGGTGTTGCACTGACACGTCACGTGACTTAGACACTTTGGGGGTTGTTAAGTTATTTACATATTAATTATATATATTTTTTGTTTTTGTTGTTGAGAATTTTAATGGTGATTTTTTTGTATTATAGTTTATCAACAGTATTTGTTTTAATTTGTTTACTGGTTTGCGTGCACTTAAGATAAAAAAAAAAGAGTGCCACCACGGCAGACCCAATGGCATTTTCATGCTTTGCAGCATCATTTATTCTTACAATAATCACACGGTTGCTGTAACAGTACATTCAACTGCTGCAGCTCTCCCGCTGGCAGCCGTACACATCACCACCACCAAACCTGCAGGCTGCATGGTCCTGCGTTTCGGCACGCATGACCATGCAGGACCCCCGCGCACCTCGACCTCCGTCTCCAGCTTGGCAGGTCCCGCTGGCGTGCCAGCCTCCGGCTCACCCTGAGCCGCGCGCTGTCCACCCTTACAGTGATCACCCGGTTGCTGTAACAGTAGCCTACAATCAACGGCTGCAGCCTTCCTGCTGCCAGCTGTACACATCAACACCAAAAACAACAACAGCACAAGCAGCGCACAGGTTTTAAGCCGGCGAGACATCATTGTAGATGCAGTGAAGGTGAGTCCATCTCACCTGCAGCAGCATCGCAGACCACGGCCCGCCACAATAATAAAACATTTTTTTATTTAATTATAAATAAATTATTTCTCCTAATTATGTCCTGGGTTTTAACTAATTAATGATACCAAAGGAAACATCACAAAAAACACTTAAGGTCATGAAAATTAATTGCGATTTAGCAATTCAATGAGGCATCCACCTTATTTATTGAAAGGTATCGTATCGGTATTGGTATCGGCGATACTGGCCCGAATTTACTTTGGTATCGGATCGATACCAAAATATGCAGTATCGCACACCACTAGTAAAAGCCTGTGTGCGCTAGTACCGCTTGCCACTTGTACCTATAATCCTTTGCGGTTTTACCCCAAAATGACGTCATATTTTCAATCTCTATTGGGAATGGTACAGGCACCGATTGGTTTTCTATCGCCCATTTGCTGCGAGGCGTCCTCCGTTTGCGAGGTGCGCCTGCTGCTTAGCGGCACAGGGAGGAGAGGGCGAGGCGGCGGGGGATTCTCTGACTGGCTGGAGCAGCATCTAATAACCAACTCGCAAAATAAAACAAAATAAAAACAAACCAACAAAATGATAGAGACTTATAATTTGCACCGATGTTTTTTCTATACACGAAAGGCGAGTGCGAGAGCCCTCGGTGTGCCTGCTGAAGTCAAAGTAAACTTTATTGTCATCTCCACTACATACAGTCCAGTATATAGAGAGACGAGACGACGAGGCAAGCAAACAAACAATAAATATAAGAAGAGTTAAAAAATATATACACACTTTAGGACTCGGGGTAAAGGGATCAATAACAATGTAAAATTTATAATTTACAGTTTGAGGATTTAAAGTCTCACACAACCTGTTGACAGAGGAGGGGCCGGCTGCTTCCAAATAGAGCACATTTCATTCATAATGTTGTAAATCCAAGCCCATTATGTATTCATGATTTGAATCCTGGGTTGTGTGAAATCAGTCACCAGGGCCCTATTTCAGGAAGCCGGTTTAGAAAACTCAGAGTGAAAAACGATACAGGGTTGAGTAACCCCGAACTGTCCAACTCGGAATATTCGGTTTCAGAAAGGCTGATAACAATTAGTTCAGTCAACGCGGAGTTGCTTTAACCCCAAGTTAAGCGCGCGCACGAGGATACATAAAGCCCTGATTAGTGGAGCACAGATTAAGCGAGTCACCATGGAGACGGAGGGAAAGAAGGCGCGGTCAATGTATTTTACAGCGCTTGAGGCCGAAATTCTGATGATGGCAGCATATGCCGATAACATGCAAATTATGCGGAAAAAAAGTAACACAGCCTCAGCTGCAAAAGAAAGGGAGCATGCATGGCAAAACATAGCCGACAGAGTCAATGCGTGAGTGTTAATTTAAACATTGATCTAGGGATTTCCACCCATTTGACACGTTATTTTATTTTATTTTATTTTTTATTTTATACATTTTATTTTGTGATGTGATTTGAGCGCAGGTGCAACCCAACAGGCCCCAAACGTTCCTGGCAGCAAGTAAAAATGAAATATAAAAATATAGTCCAAACAGGTAAGGTGTAATTGTATTATGAGCCATAGTGCTTGGTCTGTTTGTCCTATGTAAATCAATTGCAGTTAGAGGCTACATTAATTTTCTTTCTGTAAGCACTTATTGAAATTATCTGAGCACATTACAAGTACATATTTGCTTACTCTGTATGCTCAAATGCGACCCGTTATAGCCAACAGAAAAAAAGCGGAGGCCCGAAAAACAGGTGGGGGTCCTCCACCACCACCACTCACAGAGGCTGAGCAGTTAGCTTCCACATTTGTGATAATGTTGGCAGCATCACAGATGATCTTCACAGTGCAGAGAACACAAATTAGCATCCATTACTATAATGAAATAATTGTTAGTTTGAAATGCTACAGGGAACTATGTACCTGTACATTAATGCTGTGGAAAGACTTCCTGTTCACATAGTCTCCTTCATTTACTGAAGGAGCAATGATTGGAATGTGAGTGCCATCTGTACAGCCAATCACGCCTGGGAACCGTGAGAATAAATGTAACATTTAAGTAGTAGTTCAAGTATCACCACATCATGAATTAAGTTTTGTTCATCCTGATACCTGCAATTTTGTGGAATCCCTCTTTGATAAATCTTGTGGGTCTATGACCGGGAACACCACAAACGAGTACAGGAGACGTTTCAGTGCAACTGTAACATTCCTGACTGCCCGACAGACGGTAGCCTTGGAAACATGCTCAGCGTCACCAATATTATACAGAAAGCTCCCGTTTGCAAAAAACCGAAGTGCAATACAAATAATGTGTACAGAACTGAGAGGATGTCCGCGATGTGTCACATGAGCAATATTAGGCCTGAGGATGTTATTCAAATAAATTATAGATTGTGCTGAAAAACGGTAACGTTCACACAGGAAATCATCAGGAAATGATAAAATGTCCAAACGCGCTCTAATCACTCTCTCCCGGCGGAGAGCTCTGCGGAGGATTTGGGCTTCAACATCTACTGGCTCTTCAAGGAAGGAGCACGCCATGTCTGACACTTCCTACAGTCAGGTTTCCGAAAAGAGGCGGAGAAAGTCAGGGTTAGTTGAAGTAAACCTGCTAGGGGGCAGGTTAGCTTCACGGAGTGTGTCGTCATAGTAACTCACTCAGAATTAATCTAAACTCGCTTTGTGAAACCGAAAACCCAGAGTTTTCGTTAACTCAGGGTATACTTACTCAGAGTTTGCACTAAACCGGCTTCCTGAAATAGGGCCCAGGTCCTCAGTTTAGAAAAAAGAGAAAGAAGAGGAGGAGAAATGAGCAAAAGATACCGGAAAGCTGATGTGTCATTGGATAATAGCAGGTCATTTATCCTGACAGTCAGACTCATAATCAGACTTACACTTTACTCATTAGAAAAATTTATTTGAAATAATATTAAGATGCTCAAACAGAAAAACATTAAACATAAATATAACTATTTACAGAGAGGTGGGAATAAAAGGACCCAGCTTAAAGTGGAAGAGCCTCAGGGAGAAGGAGGAGAAAAATAAGAACATTGTTTCTGCCGTGGAAAGCCTGCTGCCTCATCAGAAAACTACTGATTGCTAGAATGAATGGCTTTGGCTGGACCTGCCCCTTTGAACTAGGTCAGAGCATCACATCACCAGGCCCCTGATTGGTTGTCGCGGTGCGACTTGACGCTGGAGTTCAGATTTTTCCAACTCGAGCGGTAGATGAGATAAGCGTGAATGCACAAAATGCACCACACAAATTGCAGCGTGGATTTTACTTTGTGCTTCAAACGTGTCAGTCGTGCTACTTGGCTCCGCGAATCAGGCAGAAAAGCGCTTTCGCGACGCAAATCTGCTTCTGAAGTTTCGCGTGACCCCCAGTCGTGCTTCATCGCGCTCCTCCATTGACTTTACATGTAAACCTGAAGCTCTGGTCGCGTCTATCGCGTTCGGTGTGAACGCACCATTACTGAAGGATATCCTGTCACTCTGGGCTCCAGGCTGGGCTGGACTGGGACAAAAAAATCAACCTTGGCATTTTTGGTCCATGGAGCCTACCATGATTGCTAACTAAACGTACACTTTAGCTATCAGCAGTGACTTGTGGTCAAAGTAGCCATTCATTTTTACCTGAATCTTTGAGTGTCTCCCTTCCTAATTATGCTTTTTTTGCTTTTATTAATGTTTTTATCATTTAACCTTCAGCCTTTGGGCTCGTGCCTACTATGCCTGGTATATCATTGGTTAGTTATATCTCCCACCTGTCAGTATATTTTATTTGTATTTATTTTATTTTATTAGTTTATTTACTTGTATTTATTATTGCTCTTAATTGGTTTCCATGAAGCACTTTGGCATACATCTGGTTTTTAAATGTGCTATATAAGAAAACTTGTATTGTAATTGTATTGTATGTCCCTCCAGGCCTGGAGCCAGAAACATCCAGTAACCAGGTCTCATAGACTCAGGAGGCTGTTCTTGCTAGCACCAGCCATAAAAAAGTAGATGGAGTGATATAATTAGGAAGCGAGATTCAAGGATTCCAGTTAAATGAATGCCTACTTTGACCATCAGCCACTGTTAATAGTGAACTGTCACATATATAAGTATGTATGATACGTATATCACGCAGGGCCACCTGGGCCAAAAGTGCCAGGGCCAATTTCTTGTCCAATCCAGCCCTACTAAAGGTTGAGAAGATAATTTTTTCTTTCTCATGTGATTTTCCATAGAAATGACAAACTAATCAAAATGATATGAGATAGGAGTGTTGAACAGGTGATGTGACATTCAGATCAAAGTTTCTTTTGTATCGCTATTCAGGTAAATAATCACCAGAGAGCAGGATGGTGTAAAACAAGTGCAATCTTTCACTTTTTATTAGGAATAGTGATATTGTAAATAGTACTATATTTTTATGTTTTAAAATGTTCCTAAATTATTGGATGAATCTGTATAAATACGTCTAATTAAAGCCTGGTATTATTACAGCAGCACCTGAAAGCTCTTCATTTCTCACTCCTTTGATTGTGGACTTGTTGTGGAATTTTACTGATTCTTCTTCTGCTGCTGTTGTGTCGCTTCAAAAAGGGTGAGACCATTTTCTGAACTGAATATAAAGTAAATAATAAATTCACATATGTAACTTCAACACTCCATGTACCAGAACAATTTACTATATAACACTGAAATTTTCTTTTCTTCCAGATTCATTCTTTACCAGGTTGGTTAAAATCTCCCCTCTCCTGTACTAGAAGTATATCCTGTGTTTCTTATTAAATCTACAGGTTTACTACTTTTTCTTTTTGTTCCACCAGAACTCGGAGCACAAATCAGAGCTCTGCAATGAACCACGTGATCAAGGATGAAGCTCAACACAGTCGACATAATTCTACTTTTCAAGGTCAGCCTGATCCATGACAAGTTTTGTTGTTGTTGCTTTTTTATTTACTGACAGATTTTAAACTCCAAGTCCAATTTATCTGTTTCTAGTTTGCTGATTTAGAAGATGATTCATACATAAGAATTTCATTTTTTAATCTATCATTGGCTTGTTTTTGTAGGTGATGCTTGTGTTTATGAATCAATCAAAGACCACGATGACACACAAAATGGTAAAGTAGATACAGTAGCATTGACATATGAAGACTATGTGATTATTTATGTTTAAACATGGAAGTTTTAGAAATATGCAGCACACAGATAAGAAGAAAAAGAAGTTGGACACTTGGTCCTTCCGGTGTAACACAGGGTCAGTTCAACTTTAAGACCAGTCTGTCCTACAACCACTGTGAATCTGTTTTATGAATCCATCTCATTCCTCCTGACTGATTGTTTTCTAGTTTGCTTTTTGCTGGTGTTACTGTCACTACTGGTAGTATGAGATGGTACACCACCTGCAGTCCATTCAGGTAGACCAGCTCGTTCAGGGCGACACATTTAGCGCACTCTCAGGAAAGTGCTGTGACATACTAGGAGATGATCTGTAACACAAGCAGAGCTGAGCATCAGGGCCATAAGGGCTTTAACCAAGCAGCATGTGCATGTTTCTGGTCAACTATAAGAAACAGACTCCCTGTTTATAACCTGAGAGACTAACATCTTTAACTAATACCACAGCCCAGCAACGTGCCACTCAGGTGGACAGTAGCACAAAGGAAAACTAGAGAAAAATAAGTCAGGAGGGATAAGGAGAGAGTGATGACCTGTGGCCACCACCTGTACAAACACTTATTTTTTGGCAGTTGCCTTGTTGTTGCATCTCCAGTGCACCTCTTGTCACTTTGATTTGCACCAAAGCAGCTAAAACGGATTCAGATGGGTTTACACTTCCTAAATAGACAAATTGTTGTTCTTGATGTTTATCTCACTCTGTGTTATGTCGGTTTGGTAGATTTTGGTATAGTTCAATAAAATTCCTTTTTTTTTTTTTTTACCTCTGTACTATCTAGCATGTAGGTATGTAGATATGTAATAAACATTATTATTATATTAGTGTGAGTGTATTATTTTCACCTATAAGCATTGCATGTAATTAATTTCAACCCTGTTCTTATCAGAAATAAGAGAATAGAAGAAACATGTGAGGAGGCTGTTGATTAGATCAGATTATTGTTTTCAAAGGACATAAATGGTATGAGCTACATTCCCTCACTGGAATTTAGGTTCTGACAGAGATGGAGGAAAAGTGAAGAGTGATCCTTAAGGTTTGGATTTGAGCTTAGTGAAAGGGTCGTGCTGAGCAGGGATGAAGGAGGGTTGAGCTGATGTGAAACTGAATTGAGGGCTAACAGGTTTTCATAGAAATGTTTTAAACATGACAGAAACATCTCATCTTTAATAGACCTTCAATAGGTTTAGATGATCAGTGTGGTGTCGACTGACAGAGATATGAATGTAATGAAAAATTAACACACTTCACCCTTTTTTTTTATCTTGATCATCTGTCCATCCTCTTTCAGATGGCAGTGTGTTGTATGCACAGGTCTCCCACGATAGAGCTAAAACCAAGAAAGACAACGGTGAGTGAAGTAATAAGATTTTTTTTCTTTTTCTTGTTTTTTATGCATCAAGCAATCCTCATTGACTACACTATTATTTCATCATTTTAAGAGGGTAGTGATGATATTGGTTACATAAATACATAAATTTCCCTCACTGGATTATAGAGTCACTGACTTTAATGACCAGGGGTGGAGGAGGGTTGAACTGAAGCTTTTTATCCTGATCATCTGTCCATCTTCTTTTAGATGACAGCCTGTTGTATGCACAGGTCAATTACAATAATGCGAAACCGAAGAGACACGAAGGTAAGTAAAGTAATCAAATAAGTACCTAATTTCATGCTTGCTTTGAGTTTTAATTATTTTTACACAAGAAGAAAAAGTTGTAAAAATAAATCAAGTTGTCACTTTGAACAAAGAGGCGCTTGCAATGACATTTGACAAATCATTTCTTTGCAGGGAAACCAGCTCCTGCAGCAGCTGATGAAACAGTTTATTCTGAAGTTAAATCACAAACAGCTCTGGGTAACTGTGCAGAAATAAAATAGCTTACATGTTGTGATTTGTTGCTGTAACGATGAACTCAAGTACTCAAGTTTTTAGGGAGTAAATTTAGTTCCAAATCACCTTTAATGACTGAATTATGCTGCATCATTTCTTTCAGATTAATAACAAGATCTGCAAAACCAACTGGATCAGTGACAAAACTGAGTTTCATTTGAATTTAAGAGAGCTTTAGAGAAATTGAGATTATGCACTGTTTTATAAGATAAAGTAAAATAAGTAAAATCTTTCATCATAATAGCCCAAGTGATAATCTGGCTTTGAGACCAGGATGCTTCGCACACATGAACATTCACTGAACTGCAAGTGTTGTTACATGTTCACTGCTAAATAAATAAAATAAATAATAAATAAATACAAATACAAATACAAATAAACAACATCTTGAAATCAAAATAATCAACCTACAGGGGGCTGAATTTTGATACACATCAAAGTGAAAAAAAAAATGATGCAGACCATTTTGTTGAAATTTCATTGCACCGACTCAAAATTATACTGAGTAGTCAGTTTGTCTTCCATGGACTTGTATGCTTTCCTGACAATTTTGGAGCATACTCCACAAGAGATGATGGTGTCCTGAGGATCTCCTCCCAGATCTGGACAAGGGCATCTGAGCTCCTGGACAGTCTGAGCTGCAGCATGGCAGCTTTAGATGGAGAGGAGCATAATGTCCCAGTTGGATTTTGGTCAGGCGAGTGTGGGAACCAGTCAGTGGTATCAATTCCTTAATCCTCCAGGAACTGCCTGCATACTCTCGCCACATGAAGCTCGGCATTGTCATACCAGGAGAAACCCAGGACCCACAGGCACCAGCGTAGGATCTGACAATGGGTGACAAACTCTTGAGACTGTGCTAGCAAACCTGACAATTGCACGCATTGAACTGGCATCCTAGAGAAGCTAGACTGCCTGTACAACCTCGGTAGCATCCAGGGATTGTCTCATCTCATCCTACCAGTAACGATGATCACTCTAGCCAAAAGTAAAACTAGTGAAAAAGACAGAAAATATGAGAAAGGAAAAAATGCCAGTAACCTCTAGTTGTAAAATGATTCCTGATTTGGGATGCACCTTTTGTTAACTGCATGTTTTGCTACTTCACAGAGCAGAGATGTCTAAGTGGTGTGATGCTTTACTTGAATTAAAAGTAATTCTTTAATTTTTTTTTGAGCAGTGCATATTTACAGATGTTTTCTGTGTCTTGTCTAAAATCATTTGATGTCTATGATAAGCATACACATGTTTACATGTTTATTTTCTCCTGGATGAATTAAGCATCACTTGACATATTTCTATAAAATTGTTTTTCTTCTTTTAACAGTTTTAGGAAAAGATCAACTTTTTGTTCTTTTTATTTTAGGTAAGCTGCCTGCAGAGGCAGTTTTATTTTCTGTCAGTGTCAAACTTAGTTCTTCCTCTCAGCTGTTACCAGGTGCTTGTTGTTTATTGCAGGGTGTTTAACTTACAAAATCAAGGCATATTAAGGTGACTGTTATTGTGAATTGTTGTTAAATAAACAAAACTGATTTAAATTGACTCAAATGCTTGTGTTCTAAACCAGCAAAGGAAGTAAAGTGGTATCAGATCATACATATCTTAGGGTGGGGATATTCATAAACCCCACAACTGTACATGGAAAGAAAGGACAGAAATTATAACTTTATGTACAGTCTGACTATAGGATTTACTCTGTTAAAAATAGGAGCCTATATACCTCTGATATCAATTTTCAGAGGTAACCAACAAATAATTGTATTTTTGATCAGAAGGTTGGTGGTTTGATCTCTGCCTCCCCCAATCTGCATGCTAAATATCCGAGGGTAAGATACTAATCCCAAGTTGCAAGTCCCACAGTCTTGCAACTATTGATACCTTAATGTTGATCAAGGTACTTGTTCTTTAGACGCACTCAGTGATACAGTATTTATTTATTTATTTATTTGTTTATTTGTTCAGTTTCAGAAAAAATACATTATCTGGTATTTTCCTGTAAATATAAAAAGATTGTCTCATTCTTGGATTTAAAACAAGGAGCAGGATTGTCAAAGCGTTTAGACAGCAGATATGATGAATCAAAGGTAATATATAAAAACACTAATAATTGCGGTACATCAATCTAAAATCATAATAATAAATGAAGTTTTGACTTTCTTCTCAGCTTACAAATAAACACCCAATAAGTTAGTCTCATCTCTAACTGAAGTAGAGGCGTGACTTCTGTTTTCAATCATTTTCATGTAAAAGCCCTTTATTATTTTATCATTTCTTATTTGGCTTCTCTGTGAAATCCTGTTCTGTTTGTGCAACCACAAAATGCTCAGTGTGAGTCTTCTACTCATTCATCCATTTTCTGTGGGTCAGAATTTCCCAGTTCTTGGGTCACAGAGGGGCTAGAACCTCTTCCACGTGCCATCTTTCAAGATGCAACACCGCACCTTTTCTTAACTTTAACTTTTTTTAGACTAGGCTTTCAAACTTTATTTCACCTTCCTCTAGTTTCTCTACTTATACCTCTTAGATATAGCGATACAAGATACTTGAAATGTGCAATTCACTTGTATTTTTATTTTTATTCCTATTTATTCTATTTATCCCCTTCGTATATTTTATTTATATATGTCTCTGTGTTTATATATGTGTGTGTATATATATATATATATATATATAATATTTTGTAACTCTGTAACTTCTGTCGGTGCTGTGCTTTTGGAAATAGAATTTCCCAGAGGAACCCACCCGAGGGATTAATAAAGTTTTATCTTATCTTATCTTATCTTATAAGTTCAGGCCATGGTGTACCCTGATCTGGTCACCAGTCTATCACAGGGACAACAGAGAAAGAAGGAGACACCTCTTACTGTTGTTCTCTGACATGAAGACCTTGTCTTCTGTGTTCCATGGTAACATAGTTCTGCCAGAAACCAAACAGTCTCCCTGTCACGGTCCCTGAGTTTCTCTCACGATGGCCTTTGGCCTCTTTCTCTCTCTCTCCTGTTGGTGCTTGTCTGTGTTTGTTCGTGGAGGTGTGTTACCTTTGTACAGAGGTAGCTCCGCTCATTGTCTCTGCCTCCTCACTGGCTGCTAACCTGTAGAAGATCAGCTGATCATACTGATGTACAGCTCGTTGCTCATCAAGCTGACTATTTCAGACTGACAGAAGCAGACACTCAGTTGTTGCCATATTATTGTGTGAGTGAGGTACGTGCTCATCCTCTGTCTTGCATGATTTTCTGTTTCTCTTTACGTTGAATTAATCAGTCTGTCTGTGCAAATCTCTCTGTGTGTATCGAGCCCTGTGAGATTAAAACAACAGTGTGTATTTACTCTTGGAACACCGCCTCTCCCAAATCTTTAATGCATTCACCTGCTGCTTTGCCTCTGTTTTATTGACTTAGCTGTAAATAACCCTGTTACATATTCCCTAGTGCTCTGTGAGTGGGTTTATCATTCTGCTTTTCCCCTTTTTTTCCGTATTTAGCAAAGTGAAAATAAAATAAAATAAACAATAAAAGGTGAATCAAATGGACCATTACGGCAAGGCTGAGATGGTCCATTTGGTAAAGTAAATCCGTTGGGCATCTTTCTTCGCCTTTAGGCAATAATTCTGATGGCAAAAGAGCCAAACGGGACAGGCAAAAAATAAATAAATAAATAAATCATGAATTGACTTACATTTTTTGGAAAGCTGGGTTCAAAAAGTAACACATCCTTCATTGATCTATCAGTCTGGAAAGGGTTACAAAGCCATTTTTAAGGCTGGGAAAAAAATGGGAAAAATTTAGAAACTTGGAAGAGTGGCAAACCGTCCTAGAAGTGGGCGGCCTACCAAAATTACTCCAAGAGCGCATCAATCCCTCACTTAGGAGGCAACAAAAGACGACTGAACAGCATCCAAAGAACTGTAGATCTCACTTTCCTAAGTTAAGTTCAGAGTTCATGATTCAACAATAAGAAAGGGACTAGCAAAGAACACAAAATGTCTCATAATTATCAGAAAGGAGAAGAAAAAAAATAAAAAATAAAGGAGTTTGGATTTGTGGGACACTTTACATTCATAAAGCTCAGCTTAAAATTTAAAGGGAGGTATTTTTACTTATAGATTTAACTCTTGCATGAAAAAGTGCAGGATTACCAACAGCTGCTGTGTTTGGTAATGATTTTGTGTGCTGGTGATTAGTGTGCACCAGCAGTTTATGACTGCGATGTACCAGTGGTGGCCTACTGGATGATCATATCGATGACAGGAGGGAAATAACAGTCTATTGTCTGGTTTGCTAATATTTTTTTTTATCTCTGCAGTTATACCTCTATGTCAGTTTGAACCCATCTAATATATGTGTTTTGTAGACTTCAAATGTTACCTTAATGACCCAACAACAAATGTGTGTAAGGGTAGTTTTTTTTTTTTTTTTTTGGTGATAAAGCTCCTATCAAACAAAGCAAGCAGACAAGTAGGAGGCAAAGATGAGACACTTGTGTGATGCTAGTAATGGTTTATGAAAAAGTCAATTTAACACATCAGCATACAGTGCATTCAGCCTTGTTATGGTATATAAGCATTTAATTTGCCTTATGGTAGACACTGTGAATAATGGCTGATTTAGATTTCTCTGCTGAATCTTCATAAAGGCTATGATGTCACCTACATAAGTTGCCAGCAGTTATGGTTGTGTGTGGTACATTATGTGTTCCTGTCCTGGTGTTTTATATGTGGCGCCAACCATAATGGA